TTTGGTTTTTTTCCTCTCCTCTCTACTTTACAGGAGAAGGAGAGACTGTGTGAGTTTTAGTTGCTGGATCAGCCTAAAACCACCACACAGTGACATCTTTCCTCATGGCAGAAGTACCTGCTATCAGTGCCTGAGGTGTGTGTCTCAGAGTTACTACAATCCTTTCCTCTCCCATTGCATTCAGCCCTAAGGTCATCCAGTTCTTGCAAGTGTGGTGTTAAATAACATCTTCCATTTTTATGCCATCAGCGCATCATTAACATCCCTACACTTCAGTCACTGTCAACAAGAAATCTAAAATTGGGACTCCTGAGAAAGAGTTTTAGAGGTCTTTCTCCATCCCAATACTTCCCTTCTCCAGGCCAATACTTCTGGTTTCACCGTGAGACATCATCACATCCCCTCAGGCTCCTGGCTCTCCTTAAAACCCTTGCTCTCTCTTTTTCTGAATGTGAAGGCAGAGCAGAGGCTTAGGAAACAGCAGGTGAGTGAAAAGATATCATGTAACTGAAATATCTTTGCTTTTATCTGCCCTTAATGGGCAAAGAAATGGAACGATTTTTTAAATTAATGGAGATATTGCCTAGTTTTAACACCAGTGGGGAAGAAATGAGGATAACAGTGCCTACCATACAGACGTGTACCTCACACAAACAGATATCCCAAATCAGGGAGGTCAAGAAGCCACTGAGAGTTGATTTCAGTTCAGGCCTGGCCCAGAAAGCATACCATGCAATATGCAGAGTTGTTATCCTGACAGCGGGGTGAACCCTCTGATAACACCTGTTGCTTAGGCTAGGATGGAGAAAAAGTTCTATTTTAGGGAAGGAAAAGGAATTTTGAGTAAAGTAGTATCAAAACAGTGACTTCTGTATCATCCCTGAACCCCTCAGCTGTTCACTGAGCTGCTCTTTGCTTTACAGACCATCCACATAACAGCAGTGATTTGGGTGTTCATGCTGTTTGAACTGCTCAGGGCACTTACGGCAGAGAGGTGTCTGCCCCATTTGATGGTGTGCATTGTGGTTGGTGCATCTGCTCGCATGGTCCAGGCCAGCCTGATACTGGAACACCTTTGCTAGATGGGGCCCTCAGCCTGGAAATAAGCTGTAGGAGGTTTTGGTGTAGAAGTGGCCAAAGATTGACATCACTTACAATGAGTGACACTTTAAAAACATTTCCCAGGTACTTTTGTGTAAGAAAAATCTTTTCTCTCTCCTTTGTTCAATCTTGAAGGAGATACTGCATGTTTAGGAGAGGTCTGGCTGCAATTTTAAAGTGAATGGATTTATTCTTGCGCTTTACTTAAAAAAAGGAGTTAGAAAACTTCACATGCCAAAAATTCCCAAGGAGACAGCTGTCAGGGGGTGACATGTCGGATATGAAGTGGCTCTCCAGCTGGTCCCTGTCTGCATGCTGGGAAGGCATGTGGAGACATTTTTTCAATTGCTGTACTAGTTTGACACGTTCACAGTGGAAAATGATGTATCATTCTTGAGCCTTTGGTTGGTGGACACTTCAAAGTGCATTGGATCCTCGGAGAGGAGTGCCCTATTGTTAATTGTTCCTTTCACATGTACATTGGGATGAACATGGCAAGAGCAGAGAGGAACAAAAGGGCTCCGGTGGTCTCTTAGAGAAAACCCTGTGCAGCTCAACCTGAGTCTGACCTTGAAAGGGTGAGTTGCTCTGGTTTTTAAATCTTGCTCGCTGCTTCATTCCCCTCTGACTCCCCGCCGTTACTCAGCTGCAGTGGAATGGGATGCCGGAGCAGCGAGTGCAGCGAGGCATGGGGAGCCCCTCCACTGCTGCTACATGGTGCCCAAGGAGATGCATCCTGGGCAAGTGTCCTTCCAGGAGAGGATGGGCATGGCTGGAGTCTGGGGGCTTGGAGAGGGCTTCTGCAATGGGTGTGTTGGAGTGGTGCTGGGTTTCCCTTATCCTTCAATAAGCAGGCGAGCCATATTGACCGTCCTCAACATAACTGGTCCACTAGCCTTCACGCTCAGAGCACAGCCCAGGGTAATTGAGCCCCTATGATTTGATATAGGGTTCCGTAATTCATGGCATGAGTTTCCCAGGCCTCTGGGGACGCAGTTTATTAACATCTTAAGGCAATCCTTCACTTCCAGGCACCTGTCTCATGTTTCTCTGTCTCTCCCTCTCACCTCCTTAGACAACCAAGTAGATCTATTAAGAGATTGCACTGTGCTATGTGGTGTCCAGGTTGAGTTCAAACACTCAAGTGCAGGAGGCAGTTGGTTGCTACAAACAGAGATGTGATCCCTTGGCGTGCATCTCTTTCCATGAGCTAGACAAAACCTCTCCCTGTAGCCTCAGCTGCACAGAAAGATCTGTGTTGGGTCACAGAGAGGTCAGGCCCCGGCTAGCACATCCTGAAATAGATGCTCAGGCAGGTGATGGGAAATCGCCCCCATCAAATGAGCTAAACGGAGAAGATTGTGCACAGATTTGCATGCTGGCGTGAGGCAGATGACAGAGGCGGCAGGCAGGGCTAGCTGCCCCAGGTCTCCCAGGGAATGAACTGCTTCTGAAATAGAGACTGGAAGGAGAGAGGCACGTCTGCAGTGGCAAATCAGCCACTGTGTTACAGCCTGCTGTGGTGCAAAAGGATCTGTAGCACCTTCTGCTGCAGGATGTCCTGGCCCCGGGGTCTCCATAGACCTGAAACACCTGAGCTGGGGGCTGGCACATGTGGCTTCGACCAGACCAGGAGAAACAACATGAATAGAGGTGGCAGCTCTGGGTGCGCCAGTAAGGGGACATTGAAGAGTCGTCTCTGAGGCCTCTGCCGAGAGTTTGGTGTAATGGCGCAGCCTGGATCTTGTCCTTCTCTGAGGGAAATGAGAGTAATAGAAATACAGTAAAATAACCATAAAATGTAGCTGTTTTCAACCCTCAGTTCTCAGGCCTTTGATCCACGTAAGTAAGGTAGATTTTACTTGCAAAATGGCTTGGACTTCAACCCCTGCTTTCGTCAAGGCATGAGTGTGTTTGGTCCAGAGCCAGCAGCATCTCCATGACAGTGGGTACACATGTCCTGTGCCCCTCTCCACTCTTCCCATCTCCAGGGTGCTGTGGGCTAGAAAGCAGGAGCAGTGCAGCTCCAGCCATGGGAGGCAGCAGGTCCTGGGCTGGCACACAGGCTGTACCAGCTCTGTGTCCTCGGTGTGTCCAGCACACACCGAGGGCAGGCCTTCTGCTCTCCTCTTCCTCCAGCTCTCCTGCTATTAAGTTATTGCCACCCCTTAGGAACAAGCCTGCGAGAAGGCGGAGGGCTCACATAACTTGGGATCAGTAAAGGAAGCAGCTCAATTAGCATTTCACACGCCTTTTCTTCACTCTCTTCTTACCTTCCCTGCAGCGGGCATGCTTTCCCCTTAAAGGATTGTCCTGTTTCTGCTCCTTGCCAGCGTTGGCAGGGTGACAGTAGTCGAGTGTGCAAACTTGTGCTATTGTCCCCAGGCCAGAGGGAGTCATGGAGACCCACTAATATGACACAGGAAAATGTTTGCTGATGGCAATTCTATGGGCTTTGTCTAACTCTTTCTCCATCATGACGACTCGATTTAAGTCTCTAACTGTTTGACTACAGATGCAAGAGTACTATCCAACTCCATCCTTTTGTCCGGGTAGTTTGAATGGGTAATTCAGCTTTTGTGTAACTCAATTGAGGGGGCAAACATAAAGACAAGATTCTTGAGCGCTCAAGCTCCCTTTCCATGGATATCTGCACATCTCTTTAGAGATTTGTTCCTTTCCTACCTTTTTCTGACATCATCCTCCCCTTAAAAAAAAAAAAAAAAAAAAAGGCTCTGATGGGGAACGGTTATAAGTAGGCTAGCCTGGTCCCCGTATTACATTGTCCTGTGTCAATGAAGCATGGTAAGTATCAGCCCCCAGAGAGCTTCGAGGAGTATGGAGAAAAGGGTGTCTAAACTTTCCTAACTCATCCTCAGCATTTGCGCTTTGGATTGTGTCATTTTTAAAAAGAAAGGCCTCTGTATGAGTGAAGAGGATAGGGGAGAATGGTAGAAATCACAGGGAAATGATTGTATTTATTAGCTGTCTTTCTGTGGCTGTCCCCATGGCGACAATTTGTGATGGCAAAGAATGCGAGGAGGGGAGGCTAATGCCTGATTGGGATGCTTTGTATTTGGCAAAGTGGCTTCTGATTGGGCTGGGAGAGCCCCGAACTCGCCAGAGTCGATATTCATTCAGCTTGCTCAAGTGCTTGCTAAACTGCATCCAAACACTGGCGGGCCCCGGCTGCCTCCGCCGAGGTTGGTGGTGTGTAACCTGCCTAACGAGATTAGCGGGGAAGGGGCTCTTCTCCGCAGCGACGCCGCAGCCGTCAGCACCAGCCAGAAAAGCTGCCGCGCGCCGGGTGAGTGTCCGTGCTTGCTTATAGGGAGGTGGGAGCAGCTGCCCCAGCTTCTTTTCACCTAAGCACTATCTAATAAGATTAGATGCTGGGTTGGTCATCGTTTGAGAGTCAGTCCCTGTGCCGGTGTGTGCTGGGGCAGCGGTGCGGGGTAGTGGGCTGCGGGTGTGCGGCAGCTCCGTTGGGAGTTTGCCGGCACGGAGGTGAGCTGACGGACAACTTATTTGCATGGCTGAGAATTTCGACATGTCCCCCTGCTTTCCCTCCATTTGCTTGGTACTGTTTGAACTGAGGCTTCCCGCTCATAAGTCTGCCTGTCGTGTTTTGCAGGTTTGCCAGGGTTTGTCCGGAGGTGGATTATAAACCTTTCATGGGAAACTCTGCACAGTGAGATGGCATCGGACAGCGAGGTAAAAACCCTACTGAACTTC